GGGCTGGGAAGGTGTGAACCAAAAATAGACACACTAAAATTTAACCCTGAAAAATAAATGAAATTCACCTAGAACATAATGGTAATGGAATAAATTTAAAAGGTAAAATTTTGGACCTGGCGTGGTGGCTCACGCCTGTAATCTCAGCACTTTGGGAAGCCAAGACGGGCAGACCACTTGACCCCAGGAGTTTGAGACCAGCCTGGTAAACATGATGAAACTGTCTCTACAAAAAATACAAAAATTGGCCGGGCACAGTGGCTCATGCCTGTAATCCCAGCACTTTGGGAAGCCACGGCAGGTGGATCACAAGGTCAGGAGTTCGACACCAGCCTGGCCAACATGGTGAAACCCTGTCTCTACTAAAAATACAAAAGAAGTTAGCCAGGTGTGGTGGTAGGCTCCTGTAATTTCAGCTACTCAGGAGGCTGAGGCAGAAGAATCACTTGAACATGGGAGGCAGAAGTTGCAGTGAGCCAAGATTGCGCCACTGCACTCCAGCCTGGGTGACAGAGCAGGACCCTGTCACAGGAAAAAAAAAAAAAGATAGCTGAGCATGGAGGCTTGTACCTGTGGTCCCCAGCCTCTTGGGAGGCTGAGGTGGGAGAACTGCTTAAGCCTAGGAGGTTGAGTCTGTAGTGAGTCGTGTTTGCAGCACTGTACTCCAGCCTGATTGACAGACCAAGACCCCATCTCAAAATAAAACAAACAAAAGTAAAATCCTGGAATTAGGAAAGATGCTATTTTGATAAATTGGCTTCAAGCTGTTGGCTGGACAACTAAGTTGTAGCGTTCTGAAGACAGCAGAGATGTGGGACTGTAGGATTGAAACAGATGAGAGGTAAATCCTATGGATTTTTTTTTAAGTCTTTAAATGAGAGCTTTAAAGGAAAGCAATAGGAATTCAATTATGTTTCAGTATCACTCCTTACCTAAAGACAATCAATTATGGTTTTTGTTCAAAATTCTATTACTCTAACAATATTTAAGTACAGCAATCATTTCAGATGCATTATGAGCAAGTTACTGAACACGCCGCCTCCCATCTGCTTGCTTTATGGCTCTTGTTTTATTTTCTGTTGCCTTTCATTTGTCAGTTCATTTTACAATTTGTTACTTCCGAACACCTTTCATGTGCTGGTACTTTCAGATATCTATCTCAAAGTATTATTTGTAAATGTCACAAAGTCCCTATTATATAAAACTGAAAGCTGGCTATATGATAGACAATATGATCACAAACTTTTAAACAATTTTTAAGCTGAAGAAATTTTTTTTGTAAATATCAAATCAAACTGTAATGCAGGATTCAACCATAAAGGTCAACTACAAACTTTTCACAATGCCATTAACAACTTCTGGTTACCATCATAAGCCGTAGAGCTACACACCAATTATCTTTAAAACCCTTAAATTAGCCCAGGCGCAGTGGCTCATGCCTGTAATCCCAGCACTTTGGAAGGCCAAGGAGGGCACATCACTTGAGGTCAGGAGTTTGAGACCAGCATGGCCAACAGGTGAAACCTCATCTATGCTAGAAAAACAAAAATTAGCCAGATGTGGTGATGGGATCCTGTAATCCCAGCTACTCGGGAGGCTGAGACAGGAGAATCACTTGAACCCAGGAAGCGGAGGTTGCAGTGAGCAAAGATCACGCCACTGCACTCTAGCCTGGGCCACCAAGACAGACTCCATCTCAATAAATAAATAAATAAAATCTTTATTAAGGATTTAAAAAATCTTAATTATATAACGGCAAAAGCTACCCGCCTCTGGCTTAGGGGCTCACAAGCTCCTACTTCAAAGCTAGCTTTCTGAGATGGAGGAGTCTCGCTCTGTCATCCAGACTGGAGTGCAGAGGCACAAATCTTGGTTCACTGCAACCTCTACCTCCCAGGTTCAAGCGATTCTCCTGCCTCAGCCTCCTGAATAGAGGGGACTACAGGCGTCTGCCACCACACCTGGCTAATTTTTTGTGTTTTTAGTAGAGACGGGTTTCACTGTGTTAGGCAGAATGATTTCAATCTCCTGACCTTGTGATCCCTCCACCTCGGCCTCCCAAAGTGCTAGGATTACAGGTGTGAGCCACCGCTTCCAGCCAAAGCCAGCTCTTGTTGTTTTTGGTATGGTTTTTGTTATTTTTGAGACAGTCTCACTCTGCCGCCCAAGCAGTGGTGTGATCTTGGCTCACTGCAACCCCACCTCCCTGGTTCAAGTGATTCTCCTGCCTCAGCCTGCTGAGTAGCTGGGATTACAGGTGCATGCCACCATGCCCGGCTAATTCTTATATTTTAAGTAGAGAAGCGGTTCCACCATGTTGGTCAGGCTGATCTCAAACTCCAGACCTCAGGTGATTTGCCCACCTCGGCCACCCAAAGTGCTAGAATTATGAGCCACTGCACCCAGCCAAAGCCAGCTTTCAAGACTCAGGTCTTAATGCTTTCATTTAGTAAATTCTTACTGAGCACTTACATTTGTGTATCACAATCAAGAGGTTCCCAGCTTTGTGGAACTTTCAAAGACAAGGCAGACAGGTAAACAGGCAATTATAATCTGGCTATTCATGCTGACAAGTGGCAGGGTGGCTAGCCCAAACTCCCCTCCCTGTCCCAGCTATATGCTATATAGACTATTCACGATCACTTAGGCCAGCCTGCCATGTGACCTAAGTGAAGACAGGGTGAACAAATCCTTTCTTACTCCTACTAACTTGGAACATCATTCTGTCAAGTTGCTCTCACTGGAGGCTCCCAGCTGCTTCAAGCTGTGCAGTTGATATTTGTATTTCTAAAGTGGGCAGGCATAGCCATTCCAGAAACATTCAGACTTGTGCCTTTCGTTACCCAAATATATGATATTCAAACAATTTCCATTTTAACTCATTAAAAAATTGTTTAAGATCAAATAATCACATTCTTAAAACACTCAATCACTTAATAAATCATTTATTTGTAAATCAATACATGTGTACTATACAGAACCTAAGAATTTAGATAATTTTAATAACCCATAAACATGTTGCAGATTTAAATTTTGTATAAATAGCACTCATTGCATACATATATCTTATGTGTACTTTGTTTATAATCACATTTATGCTACACTCCTCAGGAAAAAAAAAACAGGTAAGGCTTTGAGGAACTCCAAAGGTAAAGTACTAATCCCTTTGGCCATTGGTTTTATAAGTCAATGTGTGGGTGTGTTTCTTTTTAAGCAACAATGTAACAATGTACCATTAGTAAAACTGCTGTGCAAAATTATCCCTGCGGCCTATTCTAAGCTTACAGTTCAGTTGATTGTATTGTAAGTAAACATAAATCACATATGGGAGAAAAACACTAAACCAGATAGTTATTTTCACTATTTTGCTTAAGATTCATATTTAAATATAAATCAAGAAGTTAATCTACAGTTTGATACTTTTTACATTATAAATGTTTTATACAATTTTAAACTGATAAAATTTTAAACTGATACACAATTGTAAATATTTATGGCGCATGTACTGTTTCAGGTACAATGTGTATTGATCAAATCAGTGCAATTAGCACACCCAACAACTCAAACATTTATCATTTATTTGTAGCAAGAATATTCAATAATTATAGTCACCTTACTGTGCAATAGGACATCGGAACTTATTCCTCCTAATTAATCTCTGTACCCATTAAAAGTGGTTTTCTAGACCTGGTGCGGTGGCTCACACCTGTAATACCAGCACTTTGGGGGACCGAAACGGGTGGATGACGAGGTCAAGAAATTGAGACCATCCTGGCCAACAGAGTGAAACCCCATCTCTACTAAAATATAAAAATTAGCTGGGTGTGGTGGCACACATCTGTAGTCCCAGCTACTCAGGAGGCTGAGGCGGGAGAACTGCTTGAACCCGGGAGGCAGAGGTTGCAGTGAGCCGAGATCACGCCAATGCATTCTAGCCTGGAGTCTGGCAACATAGCAAGGCTGTGTCTCAAAAAAAAAATGAAAAAAATTACCTGGGTGTGATGGCACATGCTTGTAGTTCTAGTTATTCAGGAAGCTGAGGTGGGAGGATTGCTTAAAAAAAAAAAAAAAAAAAAAAAAAAAAGTGGTTTTATGTACAAATACTAGACAGATGTTCTACCCATACATTGTTCTCCAAAATTATTATGTGGCTTTTTAAAAGAAAATCACACAACAAATTTTAAAAGGCACTGAGATACATCTCCTTCTAGATCATTGCTAGACTTGAAATATAAAGCTTGTTCTACCAGGAATCACAAGTTAGAACTGAGTATTTGCCAAAGCAGAAATTATATAGCATCATTTCAGGCAAAGGTTATTCAGCTCTCCTTCCCAACTATCTGTCAGAACAGTTAAACCAGGTCAAAACAGTCCAGCAAACTAGGCTTCATCACATAAGGCCATTTTGTTCTAAAATGCTAATAAACCAAAACAAGAAATACTAAACTCAAAATATATTATTTGAGCTATTTTCATACAAACTGTTGGTTCCTTATAACCTCCCTTCTATAACAATAAAGGGCATTTTTACTGCTAAGAAAACTTTATGTCTATCACTAGCTATAAATTTTTAAATTTTGTCATTAGTTATTACATAAATGTTGCCTAGTATCACTAAACAAATGGCATAACCATTTTATGTCCACATTTCACTTCTGCATTTACAAACAGAATTTTCATGATTTACATAAACATATCAGTGAAGAGTTAACAATGAGATGCAATCTAATATCCCTATTATCTGATATTTTATAGATAGCAATGTAGGTGATTTTTAAATCACCTTTGAGTGACCTTATATAAAAAATAAATCAGGGTGGGTGCAGTGGCTCATGCCTGTAATCTCAGCACTTTGGGAGGCTGAGGCGGGCAGATCACGAGGTCAAGAGATCGAGACCATCCTGGCCAAGATGGTGAAACCCCATCTCTAATAAAATACAAAAAAAATTAGCTGGGCACAGTGACACACACCTGTAGTCCCAGCTGCTTGGGAGGCTGAGGCAGCAGAATCGTTTGAACTCAGAAGGCGGAAGTTGCAGTGAGCCGAGATCGCGCCACTGCACTCCAGACTGGCACCTGGCAACAGAGCAAGACTGTCTCAAAAAAATAATAATAATTTAGAGGTTTTAAGTCTCCAAGAGATTTTCAAATGCAAATATATTAGCAGTTACAGACAAGATTTTTAGGAAACCTCTTCCACATCTGCATCCTGTTGTAATGGTTGTATCATCTTTTCTTCCAGCTGCTTTCCTTTGCCTGCAAGGGTCAAGATGAGTTTTGTCCAATTTCTTTGATGTCCTGAACTTTCTGTATTCCTTTATTTTTCTTCAATTTGTTCCTTATAAATTTAGTCTGCAATTGTTTGATCTTTGCATCTGTCTTCGCTACCTCAGTAATTTTATTCTTCAGTTCTTGCTGGTATTTGACAGGTTCATTTCTATATTTTTCAAATTCAAATGAATTATCCACTGTAAGCTTGTTATTATCAGTTGCTCTACTGAATGTTTTAGTCCACCTAACCTTTCGAGAATTGCACTTCTAAAGTTTTTATGACATTTGGATTCACACAATCTGAACGCCGTGCGGTAGCTACAGATGAACACCATGATGTGAGCAGGGTAGACTGGCTCTAAAAGACACTAACACTTCTCAGTACACATGCTGAGCTCACATGGGCCTCCACTGACCAAACATGAGCTAGAGTCAAGAGGTATCTTGGAATTCCACATTCTGACCTTGTCATTCTTGAAGGAAAAGGATGCATCATTTCTGGATAATTCAGAAAAAACTTGCAATCTTTTCAGTTAGTTTTTAAATGAACAATTCTGTTCATCAAATTTCTGAATTGACCCTTCTGAATTCACGGGTTTCCGAAACTGGCCGTAAGCAAAAGTCTGAAGCCTGGGCTGGGCACCAAGTAACCCAGCCCAGGAAGGGACCTGAAGTGTCCTACAGTTGTTTTTCAACTTAGGAGAAACAACAGGTTCCACTAAATCCTGAAAAGATTTTTTGTGTGAAAAAGGGCTTGATATACTAGGTTACATTCCCAAGACAATGCCATATTTTACTCAGGAGGCTTTAAAAAGTTTTGTCTTATGGGTAAATGGTAGCTGTTTTCACTGGTAGCATCATTACCCCCATCCCTCACTTCAGTTGTTTATACAAAAGAGGCTGGAGAATAAGAAGTACATTTTTACAGCCGGGTGGGGTAGCTTACGCCTATAATCCTACCTGGCGCTTCCAGAGACCAAGATAGGAGGATCCCTCGAGTCCAGGAGCTCAAGACCAGCCTAGACAACATAAGGAGACCCTGTCTCCATTGCAAAAACAAGAACTCTTAAAGAAAAAAAAAAAGTAACACATTTTTATTTACATAGCACCAAATATAAGAGCCAATTTTTTTTTAACCTAGAAAAAATATTTTGGAGAGAGAAACTAAAGATCAGAAGGTCTAAGAATACCTAAAATTTGGGGCCAGTTACGGTGCCTTACACCTATAATCCCAGCATTTTGGGAGACTGAGGCAGGTGGATCACTTGAGTTTAGGAGTTAAAGGCCATGCTGTCAACATGGTGAAATCCTGTCTCTACTAAAACCACAAAAAAATCAGGTGGTGTTGTGGCTCGTGCCTGTAATCCTAACTGGTCTGGAAGCTGAGGCAGGAGACTGCTTGAACTGAGAAGGTGGAGACTGTAAGACTGTGCCACTGCACTCCAGCCTGCGCAACCGAGTGAGACTCTGTCTCAAAAAAAAGAAAAATGAAAAAACAAAAAACTAAATGTTTCCACCAATTTCCCTTTACATGAAAGGTACTAAATAAGTTACATCACAATGCCATATATATATATATATATTTTAAAAAATAGATAATTCTCATTTAAGACAGAGTAGAAATTATTTAAAATTTGGGGTTGTGGTAAAGAATCAGCTATTCAATTCAAATTATGTTAAAACCCAAATATTAAATAGACACAGAATGAAATTTTCTTCAAAGTAAGTATTTACTATTTCACTACCAAAGTAGGTAAATTATACTAAAAAGAAGAAATCCACATGGATTGAGGCAATTTCTCCCTTTGATATACGTAAATAAATTTCATGCTGTCTGAATCCTTAGGGTTAATTAGTTAGAAATATAATTCTCTTATACACAGGGCAACTAGGGGAAATAAGTTAGCACAATCATTTGAATTGGTTGTCTACATACTGGGCAGGGCTTATTCCTTTTCTTTAGCTTCTTTGCACATGTAAAGCAGGCCATAAGATGTCCTGTTTTGCCATGGACAATGCAACCATTTTTAGGTCGACCTTGACAAATCACACAAGGTTCAATGGCATTAAGGGGCAAACTAGATTCCATACTTTCTTCTTTGTCTTGCGTTTCTTCCCTTTCAGACTCTTTCGCATCTTCTTGGCTGCTATAAATAATGCTACTAGAAGTTGACGGCTGAGAATAGTCCTCACTTTCTTGTGATTGTGAGGCTTGTGTAATTTTATCATCATTTTCCTCAACACACGACTCTTTGGAATCATTCGCTGTAATTTTTTTACAATCAGGAACATCAAAGCCCTCTTCAGCTTGTGTTGAGTTTTCCAGTTTGGCTTTCTCAGAGATTTCCCCTTTATCTTTATCTTTCCCTTTATCTTCAGGAAGCCAATTCTCACGAAGGGCCCAACATCTGTTACAATGTGACGGAAGTGGGGGATTCATTTCATTGCATGAAGTGCATTTCCAATAGTCCTTCAATGAAATAAGACACGCAGTCAGTTTCTGTAACCCTTTAAATACTAGTCACAGGAATTCTAGCAACTTTGCTATGTCTAAGGTAAAATATACCACACAGCTCAATATTCAGTGTTTCATATAATACAGTCACCATGTACAGCATTAAGACTATAGTTAGTAATATATTTGTATACTGGATATTTACTAAGAGAGTAGATTTTTTATATTTTTACCAAACACACAAGGTAACTATACAAGATAATTACATTAATTTGCTTGACTATAGTGATCATTTCACTATTAACATGTGTGTCAAAACGTCACGTTATATGTCTCAATTACACACAAAACAGATTTTTAAAAGTCAATATGTAACAGTCTCTCCTAGAAAACATGCATACCCATTTTTTTCACCCATACCAACCTGAAAAATTCTAAACTAAAAATGTATTCACTGTGATATTAATCATGTACCTATAAAGTTATCTGTTTCAGGATACAATTACAGTTGTTTCCTTTAGTTGATGCAAGTATATGGGATCTTTCACTCTGTAATGCAGCCTATCTTCACTCCCTTAAAGGCTCAACCCTTGACACTATTCTAGAGTCGATCCTATCAATCTGGATGAAACCTGCCTTCTAGAGAAAGACTTCCTAATCCACCAGTGACTGGAACTACCTTAGACGTGCTCTAAAACCATGGCTCAACTGAGTATTCCCTAACTCCAACCACAACAGAAATGCTAAAACATTTTCACAGCGAGTATTGCCGCTAAAACCTATCATCCTTGGTCACTAACCATAACGTATGCCCTTTACTTGTCTAGCCTTTCCTGTGTTCTCATCTCTGTAACTGCTCAATGCTTCTTTCTTTTCTCAAAGCTTTATCATGCAAACCTTTCCACCATGCAATTTGGATAACAAACTCTCCCACATCCCCAGCTTTTTTACATAACCTATTCTTCCCTTAACTGAAGCATGGTTCTTGCCTGAGGACATTTTTACAAGTGAAAACCTCATAAGTTATGCCTCACAAATGACATAAGAGAGGAGCAATAAAGACAGAGACTATTTATTCTTCAACATTGGTTTTTACAAGTTATAGAAGGGGGTTTTCACAGCTCATAAAACCAAATGAAAAGGTCTTGCAATATGGGAGTAAAAGGGCATCAAAAAGTCTAATATATTGCAAGATCAATATCTAAAATAATTTTAGTGGGTCTTAAAATAGATAATAAAAAGTCTAAAATATTTTACACAACTTGACATCAAATGATTCAACTAGTTATTCAAATTATTTTCTACTACAATAAAAATTTTGGAAACATATTTTCATCTTTTTTGCATTTGGATAATTAATAACTGTTTATAACTAAAAAAATGTATTTCCTATTCAACTATAACAAAGGCAATATTAAGAACAAAATGGCAAAACCTACCACATTCTATAATAAAAATCAATAATAAAAATGTTTACATTTGGCTGGGTGTGGTGGCTTATGCCTATAATTCTGGCACTTTGGGAGACTAAAGCGGGTGGATCACTGGAGCCCAGGAGTTCGAGACCATCCTGGGCAACATGGTGACATCTCTATAACAAATACAAATTAGCTGGGTGTGGTGGCATGCACCTATACTCCCACCTACTCGGGAGGTTGAGGTGGGAGATCACTTGAGCCTGGAAGGTGGAGGCTGCAGTAAGCCGTGATCACATCACTGCACTCCAGCCTAGATGACAGAGCAGGACCCTATTTCAATTTTAAAAAAACTTTACATTTGACAAGATTGGCAAAATGTTGGTAAGTGTTATTGGGTGATGAGTATACTGAAGATAATTGAAATTTTCCAAAATAACAGCAAAAAGTACCAATTCAGCTGGGTGCAGTGGCTCATGCCTATAATCCCACATTTTAGGAGGCCAAGGTGGGTGGATCGCTCTCAAGTGATCTCTCAGAGTGATCTGCCCACTCTCAATTCTCAGCCAGGATGAGACCAGTCTGGCCAACATGGTGAAACCTGGTCTCTACTAAAAATACAAAAATTAGTGGGGCGTGATGGTGCACACCTATAATCCCAGCTACTTTGGAGAATGAGGCACAAGAATCGCTTGAACCTGGGAGGTGGAAGCTGCAGTACATCGAGATTGCACCACTACACTCCAGCCTGGGAGACAAAGTAAGACCCTGTTTCAAAAAAACAAAACAAACAAACAAACAAACAAAAACAAAGTTCAAATTCCACCATCTAAAAATAAAAATTATAGCTATAAGTTTCATCACAACAAATGAAAGCAAAATGCTTTAATCAGACTTTATATTTTAACTTTATAAAAATCAGCTCATTTCGGAAAGTAGGATAGACATAATTTTCCTCATCTAGACCTTAATGTAATTTTTTGATTTCTTAAAAAAAGTAGATATATACTTACAGCTAAGGAAATTTCAGGATCTTCTTCAAATGAATCTGTATCACTCTCCCCTGCCTGATACACAGTAACTCGATATACCTAATAAAACAAATTCGTCAGCATCAATTCATCACCCTTTTTCCTTCTACCGGAAGACTTCCTAGTAATAAGTCCTAAATACCATGCACTACAATATATGAGAAAGTCTAAGATGAAATACAGTCAGTATAAAGGGGGAAAAAATGGAGGAGAGAGAAATCATCACCCACAATGGGAAAAGTCAATACAAAGGATGTTTAGGATGAATAAAACAAAACATTCAGCTCAGTGGTTTAATTTTATAAATAAATAATATGGAGATATTAAACAACAGGAAAATGGCTAGAAATGCTGAAGGCAGCCACTTCTGGGAAACAGATCACTGAGGGTACTATTTGACTTTAACTGTATGCATGTTTTACTTTTACAAAAAGCAAGCTAATATTACAACAGTAATTGAATTAAATATTTTTAAAAGTGATGAGATGGTTATAATAAGCATGTTCATTGAGGCCTACTGACTTCTTGGCATTACTAGCAACATAAGAATATAAATCAAGTTATGAACAACTATGAAATCCTCAAGTCCACAAACTAATACATTAGTCTGAACAAATCAAGAGGCTAGGATTTCAAGTGAAATCTGAATATATTATGATTTCATTCTCAAAGTCAATGAGCATAGAAAATATTTAATAATTTTCCAACATAATTAGAGGGGGGGAAAATACTACCTCATCATCTTCATCTGAGAGTTCTTGTGCTTCTTCACTAAGGCTATAATCTTCTGAGTCGAGAGATTCAACTTCAAATTCTACACTAAACTGATCTGAAACTGAATCCTGATCCAACCAATCACTTGAATGTTCACTTACACCAGCATCCAGATCCTAAAATAAGAAAAAAATATGTAACTTAATAAACATCACCTCTTGGCCTCTGTAAGTTTCCTAACTCATCCCTCTGACTCTATTTCCTCCTCAGATGCATCCTGCACACCGACACTAGATTAAGGTTTCAAGGTTATTTCTACATTATTTTCCCTGTGCAAAACTCCACTGCAAAAAGGGAAAAAAACCAAAGCCTCTTGGCACTGAAGGTACAGACAGTGTGACTATATTAACATCATCATCTGTCTTCAACTAGACATCTCTCCTCCCTTACTAAATATGGACAAGCCCACCAGATCTAGATGCTTCCTCAACTAATCTTGGCATTTCAACTTCCACACCTTCCCCCTCACTAGAATAATTTCACACTTTCAAAATCCTATTCCTTTTTCCTTGACTGGGCCTTTGTCAATATCATAACTGAAAAGGCTCTTCCATTT